TACAAAATTAAAACTTGATTTATTGCTCATAACCTTAGAAAACGACGTAAGTTCAATTAACAAAATATTTATTGAGAAAATAAAGAAAAAATAAAAACACGTTCAAAAAGGACAAGGCCAGTGCAACAAGGTTTCACGATGGGTGGAAGAATTTCTTGGTAACTAGCCCCAGAATATCTCATTACGAGTTAAAGGTTAATACCCCTGGGTCAAACAAAATCTGGGCCTTGCTTCTCCATGCCCCACGGATCTCGATGATATGCCTCAAACTTCAGACATCTCTAACATCACGTCTTTAGCTCTTAATTCTTTTCTAAGTACTAAGGGGTAACTTCAATTTACCTCAAAAGATACCGCGGGTTACTCTGAGGATCCGTGATTAATGCATGTTGAAATGCAATGTATATCATGCGATGTATGATGTATAAATACTAATGCAAAGATGCAAATATGCTCATGCAAATGCAAAGATGTAAATTAGGAATGCAAAATGCAAATGCAACAAAGGAATTGATCCCCAAAGTAATTATCATAAAACAACTTCCAAATAACACACAATGTCTCAATCCACCGAGACAGATGGAAACTACAAATCACGTCATACTACTCGACTTCTTCAATTTTGATCGAACATGCAATGAAACAATCTTTTTTTATCATTGGCTTGATGGAAAACTCCAACGCTTCAACTTATTTTCCATAAATGCATTTGTTGAGTGACTATATGCGACTGACATCATCCACTGTCTCGTGTTGATTATCGTTGTTTCTTGATGACTTCAAACATATTATTTCTTTTCGGCTAGTTGTATCAACATCGTTGTAGCACCCTTGAAAAGCTTGTTTTTCCGCATCATTTGAACTTCATGTGTTCCATCTTGATGTATTTCTTCAGTTGTTTCCTGTAGTACCCTTCTGAATCATTGATGCGTTTTTGCATTTCTATTTTACCTCTTTGAGTGACATTGTCGTATTGAAAGCCTTCTAATGCAACTATTAACTCGGGAATCAATACCTTCTATGACATGACATGTATGAACATGTGTTAATTCCAAGGTAATTATCCTAGAACAACTTTCAAAGAACTCACAACGTCCCAATATGTCAAAGTAGATAAAAATATCTACCCCTTCGTGTGACGTTGTTGTTTTAAAAGCCTTCTAATTTTGATAAATAACTCAGGTATTAACAGTATGTTTATGCCCAAAATAAAGTAACATGGCAAGGAAAAGATGTTAGCAAAAATAATAATCAAAGAGAGGAAACGTATGTTAGTGAAATATGAAAAGACTAAATTTAACTGGTAAATAAACCATAAAATACAGTGAATAAGACACATAAAGAAAATTAAAACCCTAACCGCATAATTTCTAATTCACATGCATTTATTCAAAAAGAATCTATCGAATAAATTAACAGACGAAGGTTAGAATTCATTTCTCCTTTGTGTACACTTATTTAGGTACCTATAGATAGAGTTTCATCATGGTCTTAGATCGGGTGGGTTTCTACAGTTGACTATATGTAGAGTTTCGATCCTAGGAGTAAAGGTACTTGAATTGTCCTTGTCGGTGCCCCCTTGGGCGAGCTAGACCCTCAATCCTCACCCATTATAGGTTTAAACGGATCGAATTCAATTTGAGAGGGCATATTTCCCTATGCCTGACAAAAAATAAATCCTCTTAAAGACATAGGGCATATGAACCCCGGAAGTTACTTGCTAGGTCTGACACGGAGAATAAATTCTCTCGAAGACGTCGCTTTCACTCCCACTTAAAGGTTAAAAAGCTCGGGTATAGAGCTTATGTTATGCAACGCAAGTGTCGTGTGTGAGGAGAAATTCTCAAACCTTTGAAAAACAACCACACTAAAATCGAGCTAAAGTGAATCCAAAATTTTAATATCAAAAAATCAATCAAATACAAATATTAATATACAATGATATAAAATAAAATAAAAATAATAAAAGAATTGAAAGAAATCAACAGAATCGTGAATTAAATAAAACTGAATTCTCAATTTCCAACTATAGAGACAATATATAATCTATTTAGGGCTTGATCCACTAAACCCCCAGCAGAGTCGCCAAGCTGTCGTAACCGATTTTCGCCCGGGCGGGGAAAAACTTAGTACGACTTGGGGGTTTTCTTTTGAAAAGGTTTTGAAATGTTTTGGAGTCGCCATCGACCTTTTGGGTTAGGTAGACTGAATACCTAAAAAATTTCTTTTAAAAGAGTTTTTTAAGAAAATATCATTTTAAAAGATTTATCTAGTCTACGTGTAACCAGAGAATCATTATTTTATGCAATAATAAAAAAAGGTTCGGGGATCGATTACGTGTGGAGAAGGATAAGCACCCCCATAACGCCCAAAATTGATACTCATCGATTATAAATTGTCTCTAATAATGGAAATATAAGAATTCGAATATAAATTTAAATTACGATCCTATTATTCTAAATTCAACCATACAATTTTTATTTAACAGGAAATTCTACGGAAGAATAGAAAATATTCTAATATTTTCAATAGAAGAGAAGATAATCCATAAAATACTTTAGGACGAATATTTTTCTTTCCAACTGAAATAAAAAAAAATATAATAATTTCTCACAATTACGCAATATTAAAATTATGTGATTCAACCAAAATGAATAAAACTAAAGTAGGCATATTCACAAATTTTAGGTTTTTCTAAATAGAGTGTTTATTTATTTTAAAAAATCAGAATAGGACATCTAATTACTTTAAGACCGTCCCTTCTTAATATTTTAAAATAAATAAATACTACCCTTAATCCAATTATGAAATCGATTAATATGAAGCTTTCATACATATTCGAAATATTCAGATCTATATGCACAAACAAATTTTCATGGCAAAAGTTATAAATTAAAAATACTAATTAGGAACAAATAAATGAAAATTAAAGCAAAGATAAAAAAATTAAATGATATTCAATGATGGAAATAAAATTTGATTAAATTAACAAATGCATACTTTAAAGTATAAATATTATGTTAAATAAGCAAACAAAATATAATTACTAAAATGAACATTACAAAAATTAAAGTGCTAAAGAAAATAAAGTACCTAAGTTAAAAAAACATAAAATTGTACATTCACAAGAATTATAAATATTAAAATATAAAACATATGTATCACTTAAAATACATATTACATATTTTATAAGCAAAATATAGCGTATAATATATTACACCACAACTAGGGACTAAAATAGAATATTACAAATTATAGTAGCCAAATCAGAAAAAGTGACTAAAATGAATAAATTGTAAATATTACATCCACATCATAATATCATAAGAAACAAAATCCCAACACTGACTAAAATGAATAAACACAAAAAAAGTGACTAAATTCGAAAATTAATAAAACTAATATACATATTCGAAATAAATAACAAAATTAATGACCAGAGTGCAAAAGAAGCTAAAATATAAGAAGGTTAAAGATGATTTTACCGACCAAAACGTAAAATAGGCAGAAACTGGGAGGATCTGGACTGCGACTTGACCCTGAAACAGATAAACAAAACAGAAAACCCCTAGAAATCGGGGACCTGATTACGTGATTAACCCATTTACCATATAAACAAAATACTCTTCCCTTTTTTACGTAAACCAGACGAGAAGCTTATCAAAGCTTCAAACGTACTCAATCACTGCACTCCGGCTCTCACACGCCGGCCACCGAGCCGGTGACCACCCTACTCCAAACGAGGACCTTTACCACGAAGAAGGAGGATCGACCGAACGATTTGAACGGCCGAAAAACTTCCGTTATCTCCCTCTCTCGCTCTTTCTCCTCCCCATTCGACGGCCGAGAGAGCTCAAAAACGAGCTCCCAACGCTGGAAACCACCCTTGGCCACTCCCTGCTCCGACCGACGACTTAAACGATGTAAAAAAGGCCCCCCGACGCTAATCACTCACAAAACCGAACTCCGAAAACCACCCTCAAAAATCAACCTCTCCGTCGAAACTCCCCGACTTTCGCCAGCCACCAACAGCAGGCGTCTCTAGGACACGATCCGGCCTCTATCACACAACCCCTGCAACTCGTGAACCCCGACAAACCAAAAGGAAGAAAAGAAAGGAAAATAAGCCAGCCAAAAGGGAGGGAAAGAAAGTCAAACAAAAACTGCTTTTCAGTCCATCATTTGGCGGGACAAATACTGAGTGATTTTACAAGTGGTGGTTGGGGTATTAATAACCTCAACCACGACAATATAATATTGTTTTTTTTTTACATAATAAAATGAAAATGAAAAAAAAACGATGTTTACAATAGGCTTTTGAATTGCCATTGAGAAAGGAAATCATATCAAGCAATTCAGCTGTTGTATGTTTCTTTAGAAACATACTCCTTGTAACTAAACAACAGTAGTCTTATTGGGGGTTCCGTTGGCTTCATTGTTTTTCTATCTGTTTCTATCCGATACATGGTATCATTTAGCACTACATTTTTCTTAGAATGCGTCTGATAAAATACAAAAAAGGGCAGCATTTCAATGCCTCTTTATTCATTACAATATCTCATCTGTGTACGAGTTTATTAAAGAGAAGAGGCAAAAAGCAATTGGTTTGTTTAACACCTTATCCGGGAGGGGATGAACAATCATCTCCTCGGCTTCGAATCATAACTTCGCCATTTGATGTTCAAAGCTCGGATCCATGCAAACCACAACCTATAGAATTTTGATAGTAATATAAAACACATTATAGGCCTAATTTGGTTTTGCTTGAAACTGAAAATTTGTGCTCACCTTGCCAGTACTTTTACCCGAATGCAAATGCTCAACAGCATCTGTGACCGTATCCAAACCCAAAATTTTTTTTGGGTCCACTTCAACCTGTTAGAATTGAATTACAGCTTGTTAGGAAAGGGAGAAACCTAAGGCTTCGTATGGCATTGCTGTTAGAATCGAATTCACTGCAAATGCTATGCTAACCGAGTGTTCGAGATCGAGATATATGAACTACCTTAAGCTTTCTTGAAGAATAAAGATGAAAGAGTCTAATCAGGTGTTGTTTCCAGAAATGGCTATACTGAAACAGGACAAAGCCAGCCTAAAAACAAGGCAACTTTCAATACAATCGAATCACAGGACTTCAAATGCCAAGTGCAAAGAAGACAACATAAGCGTATATATGGACACTTTTTAAGATCACTGAGACAAATTTTACTGACTACATACCACAGTTTGACTTTTGGCCAAAAGCTTCTCAACAAGTCCAGGGTAATTAAACGGCATCCATCCATGCTTCCCTTGATACTGTAACTAAGAAGTACAACATCAGAAGTATAAAGTTGCGAATATGGAGAATGAACGGTTTATTTAGGCAATTAAAACCTCACTTGCAACGATCTCATGTCAGATTGGGAACATATGGTTTTGATCATTCTCTAACAACCTACGACAACCATTGTTAATTGGATAGTGCCAGATATGGGAACATATTCAATACAGTTATAGCAAATGCCAATTGGTCTACCAGGATGAGACGCTAAGTCTCTTAAGAAAAGGTCATGAGTTCGGATTAGTAAATATATTATCATAAAAATGACCCAAAAGAGTCAAATCTGAGCTATAAAAACTAAAAGTTATGGTAAACAAAACCAACCTGAGAGATCATTCCTATCACAATGAGTCGTCCACGGATAGCCAAAGCATTAATGCACAAATCAAACATGTCACCACCAACACATTTGAACACAATGTCGAGTCCTTTAGGAAACTCCTTGAGAGCCTGGAAGACTACAAAGTCAGATGTTCCTTCTATGAAACCAGCCAAACACAAATTATCAAATGACAGCATTACAAAGCCTTCAATCAGATGGCAATCGAGATCTTAGTTATGCAAACCGTGGTGGGATCAGTCTCAGAAGATGGAAATGGCATGGATGATGATAAAATGATGAAGACTGAGATCGTTAGTCACCGAAGACGGTGTCGAGATTAATCACAGAAGTTAGGCTATGGATGCTGATTAAAAAGGATGCAACAGTTTGAAAAACCAGCAAAGTAGATTAAATAGACTAAAATCCATCTCAATTGAGAGTTCAAATTTATGCTAGTCGGGTTCAGTTGGGAGTGTTGGGTACAAGTATGTGTCTACATGAAAGAAAAAAGATCAATTGAAAAGAAGAATTTCAGATACATACAGTTTTGACATCTTCAGTATTATAGTCTATGACTCGATCAACCCCCAATTCTTTCAAAAGCCTTGCCTTTTCATTTCCTCCACAAGTCGCTACAACTTTATTTCCTGCCAGTTTTGCAAGCTGCAAATGTCATTCTGATTAAAAGATCGAGCAAACAGTGGCAATTTCGAAAGGTGTCTACGAGAAGATCGAGCAAATTGCTCGCCGGTTCATTTGGGGTAGTACACAAAACTCTTCAAAGATTGCTCTCGTAAAGTGGGACACTTGCTTCAAGCCGTATAAGCATGGGGGACTGGGTATTAGATCTCTTCGTGCTCAAAATGAAGCCTTTCTTGTGAAGCTTGGGTCCAATTTCCTAATGCACCCTGTGGGTTCAAATTTTGTGTGCAAAATATAAAGTGGAACAACTCATGCCTAATAGCCTGAAGGTGACAAATAGCTCCTTTATTAGGAAATCGCTCGCCCTGATTTGGTCTTACGTTTGTGAGAATATCTTATGGTCCATCGGGGACGGACGAAACACTAAATTCTGGTTTGACAATTGGATACCTGGTCTAGGTCCCATAGCTGACTTTGTCCCGCCTGCTCAAATCCAATTTCCTCAAGCGGCAGTGCGTGACTTTGTTACTGGGAGGGCGATTGGAACTTTGACTTGCTTAGGAGAGTGGTTGATGAGGATTTGCTACAGTGGATTACAAGCATGTCGTATCCAAAGGATAGCTTGGGAGAGGATTTGCCGCTTTGGAGCTTGGAACCAAATGGCATTTGCACAGTCAAATATGCTGTTCATCATATCTAACATGTTGACAGGGATCCGACCGATAAAAATTGGAATTTACCTTGGGGTTTCGATTGCCCACAACGGATAAAGCAGCTATCATGGACCATTTTACGCCGAAGGCTAATGACTAATGCCGAAAGGGCTCGGCGCGGGATCACGAATGACTCGAGTTGTGGCACCTTAGAAGAAACTACGAGTCATATACTTCGGGATAGTTTTCAAGCCCGAAATATTTGGAATCAATTGGTTCCGGACCACATCAAAACCCAATTTTTTTCTTCTTCTGATTTATTTGATTGGTTGCAATGTAATCTTGTCACTAATGCAGGATTAAGAACCGAAGAATGGCACTGGAGGCACTTCTTTGGCATCGTCATATGGAAGCTTTGGAAAAATCGAAACGACTTTGTGTTCAATCGGAAAGTCTGGGCAGCAATGGAAACGATTCAAGCAGCCAAAACTTGGGTGAGCATTCTCATGCAGGCGAGTGAAAACAACAAGATGAATAGCACGTGCAGGAGAAGAGTCCATTGCCAGCCCCTCAACATGGTTACTTCAAACTCAACACGGATGGAGGCGTTCATCCAATTACAATGAGGGTATCTAGCGGCGGGGTCATCCGGAATGAAAACGGAGACTCTATTATCGGCTACACTAGAAACATCAGCTGCACAGCTATGTTGCAAGCCGAACTTTGGCCGATTCTGGATGTGATCCAAGTTGCATGGGATCGGGGCATCCGAAGGTTGGAAATTGAAACGGATAACAAGGAGGTATTCCGGATTCTTCACTCCAAGGTTGGTTCTAACGAGCCGGCAATTGTGAGACTCCATTCTGAGCTTGTTTACAATTACTCAGGATCTAAGCATGTAATATTTCTGAAGCATTTATGCTTTTACCTGATTTTTCAGTTAGTAGGAGATTTAAGTTGATAAACGATGGTTATTTCCAGATCACAGAGTCCTTGAAAAGATGTGGTATTTCCGAAAATTCAAGTTATGTCCTTGCAGGTCGATTTAACGCTTCTCCTGATGAGGTGATCTATACTATAATGGCTCATAGATGAAAGCTGTGGAGAAGCTTATTTATGGAAAAGAGATCGGTTTAGAGGAGTTGGAAGGAAGAGCAGACCAAGCTCAGATAGAAAAGGTTTGTGACATTGATCTCTGTATTTTATTGCCCTTATCATATGATTTGTTTATCGTTTTTGGGTATTCAGCACTACAAAATATCCGGCCCCGAGCTAGGCATATCAACACTTGCAGATGCCATAACATGCCGAATTGCTGCTCGAGATGCTTTATGAGAGTGTTGAGTTGTTGTTCTCATTTAGTATATGCATCCACCAATTGTTTGACCCACCAAGATTAGTGTTCTGTGATTACAATGGCAGCATTGATTCTCAAGGGAAAATGGAGCAAAAAGCAATGTAAATGCCTATGTATTTGTTGTCAAACTGTTCTTATTAGTTAGACTATGGGAAACTATACTTGGAAATTGTGGCGTATTCTAAAATTCCAACTTCATAGATTTATGAAAAACAGTTGCAAGCTGTAAAGGGGGAAATTCGAAGCTTATTTTTGGAGTTTCTTTAAATGCCTACTGTTAACTGCTATTTTTTACGTTTTGCGTTTTCAAAACGCGACGCGATGGCTTGTCTATGCTAATATCCCAAGTTTCCAACGTGAGGCGCTTTGCTTGGTTACTAAGATTTAGCGCCACGTTATACGGTTACTTTGTTGAAAGCTCGGTTTCATTAATTAATTAAGGGTAAGTCTATTAATAATTTGAATTTGAATTTGAATAAATATTTTTCAGTTAGGCCTGATTCAAGAAAAGAAAAGAATAAAATCTCTCCAGGGATATTTTTAGCATGTATTAACTGCTAATCGCCTCCTACCTTTCTCCCAAACCCATAACTCATCAAATCATAATCTTAGAAAATTATTAAATTTTGCAATTTACTCTCTCAATCTATTTGTGAAATTCATTAAGATCCAAAAATGGGTACTTCACAATGCAGAGAAGATCGAATCACCGATTCAGAATCCGAAGAAGACTATGAAGAAGAACAGGAATGAGAGCTTTACGACGACGCTTTAAGCGATCACCGAAACACCCAATATTCATCATCAACTTCTTCAGGTAATAGCAAAAACATCGACGATATTGACTCTAAGCTCAAATCCCTAAAACCGAGATACAACTCCCCCCCCAACATCCGAGCCCCAATCTCAAAAACCCGGTGAAGCTTTACCTTCATATACGCGGGAACACCCCCCAAAGCCAAATGGGTAATCTCTGAAAAACTCACTTCTTATAGTTTCACTAAGAAAAATGACGTTGATAACGGTGAATCCCGTTGGGTTTTGGAAGTGGGTTCTGTTGCGGAAGACGGTTATCGGATAGAGCAAAATCGTAATTGATAATTTGAGAAAATAAAAATGAACATAAAAGAGACACAAAATTTAAGTGGAAAACCCCTAAAAATTTAGGGTAAAAACCACGGGCAACGGTAGAAGAATTTCACTATGAGAAAATAGGAATTACAACCTCTCTCGATCTACCAAGGAGAAAACAATGATAATTCTCTCTCGATAAAAAAAGGAGAAAACAACTCTCAAGAAACTCTCTAAATTCTCTAGTATTGGAAGAAAGCTAGAATGCTTTGGGATGATTTTGAAACTAAATGAGCTAGGGTATTTATAGTTGAAGCTTAAGAATTAATCTTATAAATACCCTAAAATTTAGTGACTAAATTGTAATGTTCCCATTTATCAATTTTCCACAATTGCTGCTCCACCGAATTAAGCATGTGCACCGAAATTTTTGCTTGATTTTTTTCAATATGTTTGGCCACTTTACTTGACTTTTCAACAATCTCTCACTTGAAGATTTGATTAGAACAATCATATCTTCACATCATTCTTTCTACCTTGTACTTTCATATTGCTTACGTTTCTGACAGGCCACAAGAGGATCGACACCAGGTAAATTTATCAGCATTGATCGCCTTCGTCATGAAATCTGCTATGTTGTCTTTGGTATGGATCTTCTGCATATCTACCGTCCCTTCTTCCACCTTTTCACGAATGAAATGGTACTGAACTCGTATGTGCTTTGTCCTTGAATGAAATGTTGGATTCCTTGCTAAATGCAAGGCACTTTGACTGTCACAAAACAAAGAGACATACTCTTGATTGTGCCCAAACTCCTCTAATAGCATCTTCAACCATATTGCTTCTTTACTGGCTTGTATAGCTGCTACATATTCTGATTCTATTGTGGATGTAGCCACAACTGACTGCAATTTTGAAACCCAGCTTACAGCTCCACCAGCAACTTTGAACACATATCCTGTAGTAGATTTGCTTTTATCCAAATCTTCCTATTACTTCTGTCTCGGTGAATTTGCATCCCTAGAATCTTGTTTGCTGATCACAAGTCCTTCATTTCAAATTCCCTAGCCAGTTGTGCCTTCAATTTTTCAATATGATCTTTGTTGGGTCCTGCAACCAACATGTCATCCACATACAACAGCAATATAACAAAATCGTTATCACCAGACCTCTTGAAATAAGCACAGGGGTCTGCATTAAGTCTGTTATATCCAAGGCACATAATGAAGGAATCAAATCTCTTATACCAACACCTCGGCGCCTGCTTTAGACCGTACAAAGATTTGTTCAACCTGCAAACCAAGTTCTTCTTTTCTTTTTCTTCAAAACCTTTAGGCTGGAGCATGTAAATCTCTTCTTCAAGATTTCCATGAAGAAAAGCTGTTTTAACATCTGGTTGCTCTAGATGTAAGTTCAATGTAGCACACATTGCCAAAACTACTCGAACTGTTGTTAGTCGAACCACAGGAGAAAATATTTCATTGAAATCAATACCTTCTTTTTGAGCATATCCTTTGACCACCAGTCTTGCACGATACCTCTCAACTTGATCGTCACCATTTCACTTGATTTTGAAGACTCATTTGTTACCAATTGGCTTCCTTCATTGTGGTAGTGGCACAAGGTCCCATGTATTATTTTTATGAAGAGCTTCAATTTCCTCTTGCATCACCATCATCCATAGTGAAGCATCTGAGCTGTTTATTGCCTCTTGGTATGTCGATGGCTTACCGTCCTCTGTTAAAAGGCAGTATGCAATATTACCTTCTATAACATAATCTGAGTGCCAATTGGGACGTCTTCTCACACGATCTGATTGACGAGTTGTTGGAGCTTCAGAACTCTCTGGTTCTTGTTCATCATGTGCTGGTTCTGCTTCAGAAGAATCTCCTTGTTCAACCTCCTTTTCTACATGTATCTGTGTAGTCTCTGACTTTTCAGCGCTATCATCGTCTTCTTTTCTTTGTAGCTTATCTTCTACAAAGATAACATCCCTGCTAATGATCACTTTGCGGGCAGTGGGATCCCACAAGCGATACCCCTTTACACCATCAGCATACCCCAAGAATTTGCATTTCCTGGATTTTGGATCTAGCTTTGAAATTTCTTGGGGGTTATACATCACGTACACAATACTTCCAAATACATGGAGGTTTGAATAATCAACTGGTTTACCAGTCCACATCTCCATTGGTGTCTTCAGATCTATTGCAGTTGATGGAGCTCGATTCACCAAATAACAGGCGGTATTGACTGCTTCTGCCCAGAATGATTTTTCTAGGTCTGCATCCCTCAACATTGCTCTTGTTCTTTCTAACAAGGTTTTGTTCATCCGCTCTGCCACTCCATTTTGTTGAGGAGTGTTCGTCACTGTGAACTGTCTTTTGATGCCTTCTTTCCTGCAAAAATCATCAAATTCTTCACTTGTATATTATCCTCCATTATCTGTTCTGAAACACTTGATCTTATTTCCAGAATCAAGTTACACCCGTGCTTTGAAGTTTTTTGAAAGTTGAAAACACATCTGACTTCTTCTTAATAGGGTACACCCAACATCTCCTGGAGTAGTCATCAATAAATGAGACAAAATATTTTGCTCCGCCTAGGGATGTAACCGGTGCTTGCCATACATCAGAGTGAACCAATTCTAGAACACTTTTGCCTCTAGAATTTAATGTGTTGAATTTCAACCGGTGCTGCTTACTTGTTATGCATTGCTCACACAAAGGAAGTGTTACCTTTGTTAAGCCTGAAAGTAGCTTTTGCTCCACAAGAACTTTCATTCCTTGTTCTGACATGTGTCCAAGTTTCTGATGCCATAGCATTGCAGAATCTGAACTATATGAGGCAACAGAGGCTTCTGCTTCTAGCAAAGTCTCTCCCTTCAGCATGTACAAGTTTGCTACTATCTTTTCGCCTTTCAGTACCACAAGCGCTCCATGGAACACCTTCATGATTCCTTTCCGTGTTTCAATCTTGCTTGCATTATTATCCAACAATCCATAGGATAATAAATTTTTCTTCAGGTCTTTCACGTGCCGCACATCTCGAACAACTTTAATTGTTCCATCGTACATCTTCAATTTGATGGTTCCCACGCCAATGATCTCTAAGGCATGATCATTACAACTATACACAGATCCTCCTGAGACGGGTTCATAATGATGGAACCATTCTCTTCTTGAGGTCATGTGATATGTTGCTCCTGAATCAATGAGCCATATATCTGCAAATCTTTTTCTACCTTCCACGGTGGTTGACGCTTCACAGCATAGAGCATCTCCATCATTTGAAGTGTTTGAAGTATTGTCTTGTGGATTGGAGTTTTTATTTAGACTCCAACAATCCTTCTTCAAGTGACCCTTCTTTCCACAGTTGTAACACTTTAAATTCTTCTTGCTCCTCGACTTCGATCTACCATGTTTGTGACTGCTGCTTTGGCCACGTTCTGTTGATCTCCCTCTCATCGTTGTCATCGTTGTCAACGCTTCTGCTTGTTGCAGATTTACTTGTTTGTCTTCCTTGTTCTTGCATCGATTTTCTTCTTGTAGAACAGCAGCTGCAACATCATCGAAGACTAAACTGGTGACATTATTGTTTGTCAAGTTGATGATGAGTTGATCGTATGAATCCGGTAGACTTTGAAGTAGAAGTTCAGCACGTTCTTGTTCTCTTATTTTACAGCTTAAAGATGTAAGCTGAGAAAATAAGGTGTTCAGTGTATTTAAGTGCTCCGTCACTGAAGTAGATTCTGGCATACGGAGAGTGTACAATTTCCTCTTAAGGAAAATTTTATTGTACAGCGATGTGGCCTCGTACAATTTGATGAGATGATCCCATATCTCCTTAGTTGTCTTCTTCTCCTCGATGCTTGACAATACTTCATCTGCTAATGCTAGATGAAAGTTTGCCATAGCATTCCCGTCCATCTCGTCCCATTTGATGTCATCTGCGAAATCCACCGGCCTTTCATTGATAGACGCTAGACACCCGTCTTTCCTTAGGATGGCCTTCATCTTCAATTTCCACAATGAGAAATTTCTCCCATTGAATTTTTCAATATCAAATTTCGTTGCCATAGCTTCTTTTACGGATAGCTCCCACTATTTCACTATCGTGAATAGTTCTCTGGAACCTTCAAAGAATGGGTAATAACTTCTTACTTTCTTATGTTGGAGGATCCACCTTTTGGTGGCAACTACAAAGATAATAAGTAGATATTACACACTCTAATCTAGCTCTGATACAAATTGTTGCGGAAGACGGCTATCGGATAGAGCAAAATCACAACTGATAATTTGAGAAAATAAAAATGAAGATAAAAGAGACAAAATTTACGTAGAAAACCCCTAAAAATTTAGGGTAAAAACCACGGGCAACGGTAGAAGAATTTCACTATGAGAAAATAGGAATTACAACCTCTCTCGATCTACCAAGGAGAAAACAATGATAATTCTCTCTCGATAAAAAAAGGAGAAAACAACTCTCAAGAAACTCTCTAAATTCTCTAGTATTGGAAGAAAGCTAGAATGCTTTGGGATGGTTTTGAAACTACATGAGCTAGGGTATTTATAGTTGAATCTTAAGGACTAATCTTATAAATACCCTAAATTTTAGTGACTAAATTGTAATGTTCCCATTTATCAATTTTCCACAATTATTGCTCCACCGAATTAAGCATGTGCACCGAAATTTTTGCTTGATTTTTTTTCAATATGTTTGGCCACTTTACTTGACTTTTCAACAGGTTCGAAAGTTAAGGCTAGGGTTTCAACTGAAATGCAATTGAAAATGTTTGGGGATCAAAAACAAGTCGATTTTGTTGATAAAGCTGTTTGGGATTTGAATTTTTTGACCGACGAAGAGTGTAGGAAATTCGTTACCCAAATTCAGAATTGTTTGTTTGAGAATGTTTATGGTATGAAAGCTAGTGAGGAGAATAAGATTAAGGTTTATGTGAAGGTGTTTATTGGGTAGATGAAGCCTGAAGCAGCTGATGATTCCATGTGGGAAGAAAACAAGTAGTTAATGGAACATCGGCAAAAGTCCCACAATCGTTTCAAACACAAGCAAGTCAATATAGATTGTGATTACCCACCGTCGTGCCCGAGCAATATTAATTTCGGAATAGTAGGCCGACGATTCCATAGAGAGCAGCACACTAGGTGCTTCAGCTTTTGGGTGCTGACTGATGATAGCATTAGGTTTCTTGCTCGGATGGGGTCCCATCTTACAACCCACTGCACAAGGCCGTTTCAACTCCTATAATACCAACAAGCTTAGGAACTAAGTAAGCAAGTTCAAGTCCCAGAAGTTTAACATCATCAAAGCTGGGAACAATAACATGTAAAATCACAAGAATATTTCAACTGAACTACCAAAATAATCTACTTCTAAACTCATAACGTACTATATTAACACATATGTGCGTGCATGCCTGCCTGCATAAATACGTAGCTACATGCTACTTACATGCATGCAAAATGGGAAGAAGTGTACTAGCAGAGTAACATACAACTTAAATGTTCTAGAAAAGAAAATAATATAGGAAATGTCTAGGTACCCATGATACACATACAAACATAAAATGATGAGAACATTAGAGCGAAATATATATATATATACACACACTTCTAATGTAAAACATATCTAGAAAAAGTTTTAAAAAATTTTAAGGGACAAAATCAGATTATTGAAAATACAAAGCAAATATTTAAAATATATGATCATTTATAATTTTAGGAGGGACAATTGTTCTCACTCGCTCCTCCCTCCTTCCATCCTTGTATAGGTAAAAGAACATTACAGATATGCATACATGCATACATATATAAACATACATTAATGTAGATTGAAGTAGAAAAATAATATAGAACAAACTATAGGAGATGTCTAGTATAAACTAATACATAGATAAGTATCGACATAAGTAGACAGGTAGACATATGAGTGTGTGTGAGTTCCAAGATAATTCCTCTGACATTAACAAATACTACAAAGACATGATCTTCACTCAAAAGCAATAACACAAGTCACAAACACAATATATTATCTGCATTTTGTAAACATCAATTTTTTCATTTTAAATTTAAATTTATTATTATTATTATTATTATTATAATAATTATTTATTAAATATTACAAAGCCCAATTACAAGAACTCAGGCCCAGTTTGCAAGCCTAAATAATGTGGCCCAGATACAGAAGCCCAACATAAACCCTAAAACCCAACTAGGGTTTCTCATCTCATGCCCCAGCCGCCAATGATCTCCACCGTTGGATCTAGCAAGATCCAACGGTCCAAAGCTCTCCAGCTTGAAACCCTAGGATATCATAACCCTAGGGACCACACGGCCGCCACCGTTGCTTCCAGACGTTCCAGCTGCCAGCGCTACAGCCACGAAGCCGCCGCCTTACCAGAAGCTTCCAGAAGGCCAGTTGCCTCCCCACATGTCGCGGCTATGGGGTGAGTCACCACATAGCTCGGTGACTCACCGAACTTCCCCCTCTAGACCGGTCCGAGTATGGCTCGGTGGTGGCTATAAAAGCCACCGGATCCTACAAAACAAATGAGGGGAGACAGAAACAAAGAGAGGGCAAGCAAACCAGTAACCACACACAGCCACAGACGGCAACAAACAAAGAGAGAGAACCCACTACAAGCAGTGAACCAAAACAGAAAACAAAGAAAGAAGAAAGAAACTTACCCTTGGAGCCTTGACCATCGCCGGAAGCACTAAACATCGTCGGAGAACAGAAAATACCGAAGGTATTTTCATAGATCTACTCCGATTAGGAGTCTTTTTGGGGAAGCAAAGACCGGACTCGGTCTTAGGGCGTTTAGATCTATATTTTAGGTAAATTTGGGGAATTTTCGGCCACCAGAGGCGGTGGCCGGCGGCAGAATTTGTGGTGGCAGACGACTGCCGGATTCCCTCCGGCGAGGGAAGATAGAGAAGCCAGAGAGAACTCTGGCTCTCTCTCTGTTTGAGAGAGAAAAGAAAGAAAAAATGGGAGAGCTGGCCCGAAGGGCCAGCCGGTTAGGGGCTTAAATAGCCCTCCCCAAGCGACGCCGTTTTGGGGAGGGATCTGTTTGTAATTAACTAAAGGTTAAACCCTTTCCGCAGCCATTCTAACTTGTAATCCTTACATTTTAGTCACTAAATCAAATTTATAATCCTTTTAATTTGGTCTATAAATTTTATTTATTTATATTTTAGCCCTTAATTGTAATTATAAATATTTTAGATAAATTACTGATTTAATCCTTTAATTTTAATAAATAATATTTTAATCCTGAGTATATATTTTTAATTTATTTTAATCTGATATTCGAATTTTATATAATTTTATTTTAGTCACCAAATTAATAAATAAGGAAAATGGCATGTTTAATCCCTATAATTTTAAATAATTAATTATGAATTAGGTATTTAATTTTAATTTTATTATAATTTAGTCACTAATTTTAAATATTTTCATTTATTTTACTGCTTTTAAATATATAGTTCTAATTGTATTTTTATTGTTTTAATTTTACTTGTTTATATATTTAAATATTATTTTTATTATTATTATTATATAGTCATATAAATATATATATAATAAATAATAATTTATATTTTTTATATATAAATTATTTTAATATTTATTTATTTATTTTTCAATATTAAAGAAAAGGGCAGTCTTAATACAACTGGATGTCCTATTCTGGTATTTTAAAATTAAATATTATAAAAAATTATAATTTAATTTTATTTAAATTATTATATTAATATCGAAGAAAAGAGCTGTCTTAAGGCACCTAGAAGTTCTTTTCTGATATTTCTAACTAAATAAATATTTTATTTATAAATATATATAAATTATTTTTTTCTCATAATTATAATTTTGAAATAATAGGATTATAAATTAAATATATTTTAAATTTTTAAATTTCTAATAATAAAGACAATTTATAATTAAAAAGTACCAATTTTGGGCGTTGTAGGGGTGCTAATCCTTCCCTAAACGTAACCGACCACGAATCTCTTATTATTATTAAAAAGAACGAATTTTTGGTTAAAATGCAGATCAATTTATCTTTTAATTGATGTTTTCTTAAAAATTCTTTTAAAAGATTTTTTTTAGGTATTCAACCTACCTGGCCCAAAAAGCCGATGGCGACTCCCAAATTATTTTCAAAATCATTTATTCACATCAATTTTCCCGTCAAATAAATATTTCGTGCCCGGACGAAAACCGGTTACGACACATTTCATGTATAATTTATTTTTAAATTTTGGTGAAATGAGAAAATAAAAGACAAATCACTCCGAAAAAGGTCAATATCTCAAAAGCCAAAGTTTCAAAAAAATCGAAACAAAAACCGGTTTCTGACAATAAACCAATACGGGATCGTCACTAAAATCCCTTGAATAAACCACGACATCTTCTCTCTCAAGCCACTCTTCACAGGTCAAGTTACGATGACCACCCAAAGCTCGAATCCAAGAATTTCGAGCACCAGCAACCTTTAATCGACCAGAAGAGCGCGATTCACGGAACATCGCAGGCAACGAATCGAAACGACCCACAAAACCGATTTCAGCAATGACGAGAAGGGCGAGTAGTAAAGGCATCAAAGTTAATCATTTATTGTTGTTGGAAGATGATGAAGAATGTGATAGCCCTTCGGATATGGGCAACCCTTCATGGGTTCTTGCTCCTCTTAGATATGGCCCAATTCCCATCAATCAAAAGAAGAAGGAAAACAGTCTTTCCTCTGTTCTGTCTCTCAATGCATTAATGGGAATTAAATTTGAAAACCAATGGCTCTGAGGGAGGAGCGTTGGGCTTCCGGTTTATGGCTTCGACCGCTGGCTAGCCGTTGCGGCGGAGGGAGGGAGTTAAGTGTGACGGAAAGGAGTAAATAAAACACGAAAGACACTCTTCGTACCAACTGGTTATCCACGCCAATTTATTTGCACACTGGCAGTTGGGATAATATATCAGCAGCGTGCTTATTATTGTTATACTAATTTTTAATTAATTAAATAAAAAAAAATTAATATATTTTAAAATCAGAGAAGCTAAGACTAAGGGCGTTTGTTCACTAAATGTAAAATCTTTAAGTTTATATATAAAATTTCAGGATAAATTATGCATTTAGTATCTAAGTTATCACTATTGATATGTTTGAGTATCTAAATTTTTAATTTTTCAAAGCCATACCTAAATTTTAATTTTAATTTTCATTTTAAGTACCCACCGTTGATAACTTTAGTTTTTATCTTATTTTAATACCTCTGTTCAAAATTTAATGTTAAGTTTTGAAAAAAAATTAAAAATTTAGATACTAAAACGGACTAAAATTAATAGTTTAGATACTAAACGCGTTAAGTTTTTAACAACGGTGTACAAAAATGAAATAAAAACTAAACATTAAGTATGGTTTAAAAAATAAAAATTTAGGTAATACAACTGTTAATTTGGTACTAAATGTGTAATTTACCTAAATATTTATCATTACATCTTGTGCCTTGTTACTCATTCAAATTGCGAGCCTCAAATGCCAAACTAGGTGTTTCAATTTTATATAATTTATTTATACTACCGGAAATCTTTTAAAAGATGATATTCTCATGGACATTAAAAATAAAATGAAAAAATACGGAATAATCTAATCTTTTACACATTTCATAATCTAATCGGTATAGAGGAGCTCACAGCTCGGATCTAATAATAGAGGACAAAAAGAACAAAAGAATTCCATCTCATATCTATCTATGCCAAATCTTCCAACTGCAAAACCACCCATTCGTATTGCATTCTTCCACAAAAGAGGACCGGGTGAGAACTTGCTGAATTTCTCTCACGCCCAAATATATGTGACGTTGGTTTTTATTTTCGGTTCATTTGTAGAAAATCAACTCTTCTTTAGAATGTTGGACTTTCGGCAGATGAAGCTCCTCGGTTGAAGCATCATACATTGTTGTCATCTTCAAGCGTTTCGCCCGAGAGACACAACTGCTCTTTTCTCTTTGGTCTTCTTCATCGACAAAATTCTGATCCCAAACCTCTATTAAAAGCCAAATACTTCGGTTAAATTAAAAAGTATGGCCACCATTCCACGCTAGACTCGAGGGGAAAAATATAAAATTTCTCTCCACAAAAAGCCTCATTCAAACAAGTATTTACATCATAAGCATACGAGGAGAAGAAAACATTTCTGTTTACATAAATCTCTACGAAGATGATGCATGTACCTGGGAAAGTGCGATGCATAAGTATACACCGGTTAGCATGGAAAGGGGAAACTCATAACAGAAATGAATCAAGGCAATAGGAAGAGGAAATTTTGCTTGCAGATTGAGGCTAGATTTACCAGTGGTGCAGCCGCCTAAGGAAGTGTTACTTCTCGAGTACGTTCCACCATCGGCAACCACAGTTTCTCTTGAAAGTGATAATGTTTCTGAGCTTCTTTTGCCTGCAGATGTAACATGATGTAACAGACTTTCCCAGTTATCACTAGAATCAGCAGTGCTGTCCAACAAAGGGTCATTGCTCTTCTGGTAGTGGCCATCTTGTAGAGCCAAAAACTGAAAAGATAATCAAGATAACTTATTAAAGGAAAGGAAATAATTAAGGTGAAACCATAAGGTGAAGATGAAAAGAAGAGCAAGTCTCTGACCTGATGAGAAGAATTATGTACTCCGACACGCAATTGAGTTGGACATGGCTCCCACATTTCCTCTTGTGGGTGACAGCCTCGCAAACTAATAGAATAATGCAGCTGCTTAACAAATGACGCCTCTAAGAACCCAAGATACGAATTGTGCTTCTCGTTTGTCCAAACCATAGTTTCACCCTGCTAAAAAATATGAAATGGCAGAAAAGATTAAAGCAGCATACGCAATCATAAGAGAGGTATAACCATAAAGAGGAAATAAATAACCATATAATACACGCGGAAAGGGGGGGTCAACCATTTACACGAGATAACTGATACAGAAAGAAGAATTTCCCCCAATAGAGCACATTCTTTAACTTACTATCCAATCCATAGTGATTTCAAATAGCTGAAGGCTCATTCTGTTACGTTCTACCTAATCTCCCACGCCCCCACCTTTTTTATATTTCTTGGGTAGAATTTATCAAGGCAAACCGAAGGAAAAGGTGCCCAATAAAACTTAATCAAAGTTGGAAGAACCTTAATGGAGGTGTTGTACTTAAATAGAAGGAACTAGAGAATGCTGAAATTCTAGAGAGAACTAGATCCCAAAGGTCATAAAAAAAGAAAAATACACTATACATACGCACATTCTCCTCCTCAAGAGGCCAAACAGTAGATCTCCATAATAGCACAATGACCCATAGAAATAAAAAGAGGAAGAAAATAATATGAGATAACTCATGTGAAAAATAAAAGAACCAATTCATCCAACTGAAAACTACCTTCTTCCATTAAGGATCTTAGTTAATGCACTCTCTATCCAAATGCTTAGCCTTGGGAATAAAGAACGACATAAGTTATTTTCTCACAAATCTAGCATTCAAAATCAGTGTATCTTCAAGATTCATATATAATTTTAAACATGAATGTGGACTATTCCATATCATTCATCCAACCTTTGGTCTCAATCCACCATTTTATTCACGGTAAACCTGTTAAGAAAAGAAGACACACTTGCACAACACGAAATGTCTAAAATAAACTTAAGATTTTCACTTTAATAAAGCTCTAAAACATAAAAGAACAGAATAGCATATTATAAATAGTATCAAAATCCAGCAATGAACAGTCTTAAACAATAATGCAGCCAATTCCATTTATATAAAGTGAGAAATATAAGTTAAAACCTGCATCCTCTATCAAATTTTTAGAAATTCAATCATTTTTCAGAGGAAAAAAAGGAAAAATGAAATCCAAATTAGCAAGCTCAATCACCTCAAGTACCATATCATCAGATTTCGAACATGCACACAGAGGGAATGAATGGTGCTATGTTCTCTCCAGCTCTATTTTGTGTGCTAGAAATCAGAGACATTGATAGGGAACTCCTGCTTTGAGCTTGCGGTGGTTACTTTTTTGCTGGCAATTCGTTGAAATTATATCTCATTTTTCATTAATACCGGAAACAAAAAAGAATTCTTCCAAACATTTAAGGAGTTGCTTCCCCACAAACAAATCAAGCAAGTACAAACGAGCGAATGAGAAATAAAAACTTCTATGATTGTCTTTTAAGAGTATGTTTAATAATGCAATATCCCCTCACCCCATTACATATGGGAATAGGGTCAGCTAATTTTAATAATGCAATATCTAAAGCCATAGTGCCTATTAATTTAGAACTACAAGATTTTGCAGTAACAATGCCCCGTTAAACAATTGATTCAGACAAACAGCACTTACTTGGCGCTAAATAAAGAAATAAGTCATGATTTTACTGTGAATTTCCATTTCTCTACTCCAAAAAAATTAAATCGCATCAATTTATCAAGCTATATAAAAACAGAGATTGTCATACAAAGATATGTAGATGCACAACAGAAACCTTGCAAAATAAAAAACTATTTATTATAGTCTTCGTTTTTAACAACAAAACATCATTAACTGCAAAAACGAAAATGGAAAATAAATAAAAATAAAAACATTATTATCACGCAATCCTAAAATCAGCATCAGCATCTAAAATGGAAGGATCTCGTTTTTCTCTCTATCGTTCCCTAATAACTGTAAATCAATCCGCCATTTTTCTAAAAATAAAGAACATAAACAAAATTTTGAGCACTCAAATTATGATATCAACACAAACTAAACACTACAAATCATAGACGCAGAACAACACAAGCAAAGCTATAATTTAAAGAAAAAGGTTCAATTAAAAAAGGAAAAATAAGTAAAATACCGGTGTTGCAGCAGCACTAGGATCTCGGAAGCTCTCAATGGTTAGACCAGAGGCGGGTGAGTCCGAGTTCGTCTGAATTACCTCACTGAGACAGACCAAAGGATCCGAAGCCGGTGCAGGAAAATTCCGCCGGTGATTATGTTCCATTGAAGTTTCTTTTCCTTTTTTTGCTCTGGTTTCAAACCGGAGAATAAGAAAAACGTGAAGATTGTTTAGAATTTAAAGGGAAGTTATTCCTTGGAATCAGCAAAGAAAATAGAAAGAAAAATAGAGAGAGAGAGGGGCGGTGTTTGTTGAGTTGTTGTTAGGGGCGCCAATTAAGGTCTGCAAGGCGACGCTTTTAAACGTGTGATTAAATCAGATAGGTGCCACGTCATCAGGAGCGATAATATCTTGGGCCGATGTCAACCAGATATTTATTTTTTTTATTCCCGCATCCACAGATAGCTGTTTTGCGCTCTTTTAACCAATGTTTTCAAAATCAGACCGGACATTGAATCGGTGAAGGTATTGTTTTACTGATTCAATCGGGTTCAACCGCGGTTGAATCGAATTTTATATAAAATAATATATTTTTTTTAATTTTACATAATATTCAAAATAATATTAATATATATGTAACACTTTTTTTAACTTTACAATATTAAAAGGTATAAAAATATCACAAGTCATAACATGTATAAATGAAAAACCATAAAATCAAGTGAAACAAAATGATTCAAATCAATTACAACATAATATTTAAGGTAAAATATATTAAATAATAAATATAATTATATAACTATAATCAAAAAAATAAAATTGGAGTTTAAAAAAATCATAACAAATGATGTCATTTGGTTTAATTGTTTAAAAAAATAATTTCACATGGCTAAGAAACATATAATAGTATCCCAAAAGTTTAATGAGTAAAAATATGAGAACAAAACAATCTCACATGGCTAAGAAACATAGAAGAGCATCAAACTTACTTCTATAAATAAAAGAGGTAATTTGACATTCAAAATCATGGAGTCTTTTGGTGAGCACAAAGCGAACTATTCTTTTGCTTCAATTGAGCTCAAATTTTAGGCTCCAATCGAACTTCTAAATTTTTTTTGAGTTCGAGCATTTTCGATTTCAAGTTTTAATATTATATTTCGAGTTGATAATTTTTAGCTCGTGAGTTTTTGAGTCGAGTTGAGCTTACTTTTAAAGTTTTCGAGTTCGAGTCGAGCTCAGCAATACTCGAATTTGACTCGGCTCGTTGAACAAACGACGTTGTTTGGTTTAATTTTTTTAAAAAGAAAAAAGTGAACCGGCGATTCAAACTGGTTTTACCGGTTTTCAGCCGGTTCACCCCGATTTTCCCAATTTTCAGCTGGTTCTTTACCGGTTCTGTGCTAATCCGGTTTTGGGAGTTAACCGGATCGGACAGGCCACTGGTTCACGGTTCAACCGGTCGAACCGACCGATCCGATCCGATTTTAATAACATTGCTTTTAACGGTGTATCATGGAAAGATTTGGAGGGTTGAATTCGGTCATTAGTCCCTATACAATGTATATGTTACATATTGAATCTTTAGGTTTTAAAATTTTAACTCAAATGACAGTTATTAAATTTTAAAATCAAATTATGTTATTAATTTTTGTATTATATTTAATTTATCAATTTATATTTCCTAATTTAACTCTTTTTAAAAGTAAATATATAATAGTATTACCTTAGTCCTTATACCATTTGTGTTAGAATATAATTTTTTTATTAATAGGGTAAGTACAATGAAATATTTATTTAAAGATAACTTTCAATTATTTGACATTAAAAGCTATGATATTCATAGTGCTTGAATTTGGGGTTCTAAAAAAACAACAATTCATTTACTACTGAGATCACTCGGTTCGTGCTGGAATATAAATTTTAAAATTTTAAAAGTATAAGACAAAAATCAATCAAACAAAGTATAATGATCAATTCTATATAACTTATATATAATATAAAGATTGATGACACCTTTAGATAAATGTGTTTACTTAAATTTATTTTGAGAAAAAAGTTAATTCAATGGGTAAAGTATACAAATGGTCCACTGACTATAGGGTACTGCTTTATTAAGTCATTTGACTATTAAAATTTATAAAATGGTCTTCCAACTATAGAGTGTTGTTTTGTTGAATCCCTCGACTGCTAAAAGTAACAAAATGGTCACTCAATTTTTATTATATTCTAAACTTGTCCTTTTTATTAAAAGATTGACAGTATTCTAAGCCAAACGTTAACATACTGACTATCATATAATAAAATCTAATCCCAGAATCTCAAACGACCATCATATCTCTGTCATCATGTTAACGTCCAACTTAAACAATCGTCAATTATTTAATGGATAAGGATGAGTTTAGAACATAATAAATACTCGGATTACCAATTTGTAACTTTTAATAGTTAAGAGACTTAATAAAGTAACATTCTATAGTCAAAAGATAGTTTTTAATAGTCAAGGGACTTAATAAAGCAATATCCTATACTCATGACCATTTGTGTACTTTACTCGAATTAAAAAAAGGATTATTTCTCCAATTGTGTTTAGTGTACTATGTACATTACATTTCTACTTTTATAGTCTTGTACAACAAGATGTATGTAATAAAAAAAACCACTAGTTTTATAACCTTGTATATTTTTATAGTCTTATAAAACAAGGATTAAATTTTTCTTGTGATCAACAACTCTATGCATCACATAGTGCCTAATATCCTCTAACATAGAAATTATTGACTTAAATCTAGTCCCTAATATAGCATACTTGAAAGCCTCAAAAATTATTATCTACATCATAACACTTTGATTTGGTACTAAAAAATGCTTTAGACCAATACCTAGGATGCCTAACCATCAGATCATCATATGCAGCTTTTTTTAGCTTACCAATTATATTGACATTGTGTTCAAAAATAGCTTCTTTTGTAACCTTGCAACAAGCCCAAAACAACAACTGGAGAAAAACTCCTTTGGGCTTTTTTTCCAGTTGGCATAAATATGCCTAACACAGAAACTGTGCTCCACATTTGGTAAACACAGAGGGACCTCTTCCAGCAAGCCCTATAAAAGCACAAGTAGAAGCAATCAGTAGAAATAGTATAAAAGTTGGGCACCTAATATGGAAATAAGTATTAAAGATTTGACACCAAACTGGAAAAAAATAAAGGTTAGGAACTAAATTGAACCCGACACAAAGGTTAGGCACAAAACTGGAACTGAGACAAAGATTAGGCACCAAATTAGAAAACAATTAAAATTGAAAAATGAAATTTATCTTCTACATGTCACTAAGCAATGTCACATTCTCACCATCTCCTAGATTCAAATTAGTCTGAACGTTTTTCAGAAACCATGCCCAAGTGTCCCTGTTTTTCATCTCAACCACATCCTAAGCAATAGGAAATATCTTATTATTGTTGTTCCTTCCCACAGCAGACAGAAGTTCACCTTGAAATACACCTTTCAAATAACATCCATCTAATCCTAGAACAACCCTACAATACTTCTTAAAACAATAAACACTAAAACAAACATATAATCTCCTAAATTTAAGGTTCTCAACAAGAGTGAGTCTAACAACCATTAAATCAAAACTACCCTCTGAATCAGTAATCCTCAATGCATTGACATAATCATACAATCTGCTAAATTCATGTTCAACACTACCCCCTAATATGTTGCATTTTCACCTCCTTGTTCTCATACAACATTGTTTGTTCAAATCCACATGTAACTCATCTCTACCAAGCCTCATCATATCTCTCAGTTTAAGATTAGGAAGAATCCTAGGCTTCCCAAGAAAATGTTTTCCTATCCACTTATAATTAATTGTTTGATTTTTAAATCTCACAGAACACTGGTGTTTTGTTAATAGAGTTTTAACTATGAAAAAACCATCATCCCAATAGGCATATATCAGAAATGGACACCATTTACTCTTACACACAACACTAATTTTTTCTTTTCTATTTGTTAAATACTTGAAATAAAACCTATGAGCTATTGCATAAGTAGACAAAGCATCCTTTAACTGTTTGTGATTCTTAAAAATCATGCTTAATTCAAATCTAGGTTCAGTATTTGAAGAATCAAAGAATAATTTATTAGTCTTCTTAGATACAAAATCTCCATCTGAATCAGCCTCATAACTCCCAACATCTTAAGAATGCATGTAAACAGTATCCTCCCCACTATTTTCACCTCCTAAATTTGTTGAACATTTACTCTCTAAAGCTGCCTCATTTCGTTATGTTGAGCCCAAACCAGTTCTGTAACATCCTCAATACCGGGTCAGTGATCAGATTGTAAAGTTTCATAATTTGGTGACTAAAGTAGAAGAATGAAATAGTTCAATGATTTATTTGGGAATATTTCTATAAAGTTGTTAGTAATTATTAAAGGAATTAAGGGCAAAGTGGTCATTTTTCATAAAAGATATTTTTTTATATCTTTAAGAAGAGATAAACACGTGGGGGAGGAGTATCTGGAAAACTCTTCTTCTTCTTGCTTTCTTCTTCTCCAACGTGCTAAGCAAAAGTGAGTTTAATTTCAGCTGTTTAATTATTGGATTTATAAGTTGATTTTGATTCTTTGAGTAATATATAAGCTTAAGGAAAGCTTATATAAGCTTTAAACATCAAGAATAGAGAATTAAAAAGGAAATTATATGAAGGGTGTATAAATGGACTTTTGTTATAGAAAGATTTTTGAAGTTCTAAAGCTGGATTTGACTTGTTAAGGGTCTAATTAAGAAGTTAGAAGCAATTGAATGGAATTTGGAACATGTTAGAAATTGAGTATGATTCTTGAATTTCATAAGGAATATAGGATTTTGAGGTTAAAGATGATTTACATGGATATAACTTGGTTTAAGTAATAGTAGTTGAGTTTAATGACATATTAGAGGCTTAAAATAGAAGAATTAATGGAAGAGTTGATGATTTTCGTGCTAAAATACAAATTCTGGGCAAGGAGTATCGATGCATATTCAATGTGCATCGATGCACTCTTTAAAGAAGAAACATCGAATGCAATTGGTGCATCGATGCATAAGGAGTGCATCGATGCATCCCCTTAAAATGAAAACATCGAAGGTAATTTGTGTATCGATGCATGGGTAGTGCATCGATGCACATGTTAAAGAATGCATTGATGCACTGTAGAATGCATCGATGCACTTCAAGGGGAAATTGAAATAGACATTTCTTTTAGTCTAAGAAATGATATATTATAGTATATCAATTGGATACTGATATGTATCAATATGTGATTATG